CTCATTGAGTACTTTGTACCAATCGCCTATTAGCATAGTTAAGAGTTATGGAGAATCTGCATCTAACTCAGAGGTTCTCATTCATGGAAAAAGGAGGTCTATGCTGAAAAATGAAGGAAGTGAACATTTTCTAAAGTGATATAAACAATGCATTTGTCATTTTGAGTTGTTAAATTAATATAAAATTGTCACATAATATATATGCCCATATTGCGTAAATATATAATCCATTCGAATTAACAGAAAGCTTCTACTTACTTTCTTATGACTTCTAAGCACTGAAGGTGTAACAAATGCCTTATTACATAGCTCACACCTGTATTTCTTGTGTCTTTCATGGACCACTTGGACATGAACATTTAACGTATCCTTCCTTTTAAAGGTAGCATCTGAAACTCGGACTTAGGGGGCACCAAGGAAAACATACGTAACCTAAACATCTGTACCCCCATAATATGCTGAAATAAAAGGAAAAAAAAAGGTAGCATCGCAGTGATGACACTTGAAAGTCCTCTCACTGTTATGTATTAGTAGGTGTCTCTGCAAAGAAAATGGGTTCCGGAACAAAGCTTTGCACTCCTCACACTGGAATGGTCTGTCCTCAGAGTGGGTCTTCTTGTGATTCTTGTAAACATTTCTGTGGGCAAATTCCTTTCCACAAAGCTTGCACTTGTAAGGTTTATCTTCGCTGTGTATTACTTTGTGGGCACCCACTTGATCAAGCCTCTTGAAAGACTTATTACAAATCTCGCAATGATAGGGTCGTTTTTCTGACTGCGTGATCATATGACGTTTTAGCTGATTAGCTGAAATAAATTTCTTCATACATTCTTGACAATCAAATATCTCGTGAATCTTTCTATGTTCCTGTAGGCTTGATGCTGACAAACACTTTTTATTGCACACTGAACATATGAGCTTTTTTTTAGGATCTCCAGTGTGGACATTTTCCTGGTGCCTTTTCAGGGCATCCTTGCTCTTCAGCCTCTTCCCGCAGCTGCCAGCCTTGCACACAAACCTGGCATC